TTACTGAGGATCCAAAAAGCTATTAAAATTTTGTATTTTATATACTGATATTTAGCTGTTAAAAGTTTAAACTGATTAAAGTATTTATTAATTCATCAAAGTTATCATCATAATTCTATTGCATGTTGACATACATATTACATTTTTTAGAAAAAAAATATTTTTAAACAAAAAGATTACTAAGATTGCTGGCATATTTTAAATTTTTCCCATTATTTTTAAGGTCTGGCTTAATGAAGGGAAGCTTTTGATATCTGCTTTTATATTCAATGTGCCGTAATATTGCAAACCATACATTGTATTTATCTGAAAATCTCCAGTGTACATTCATGAATATATGAGAATTAAAAAGAAAAATAACTTATGAAAACTATTTTCACCTTCTAGAATCCTTGAAAAAGTCTTTTGTGTCCCAGACTGTTCCTTGAGAAACCTTGATGTGAGCAGTGGTTTTTAAACCTTTTGGCTAACAAAATCATTCTGGTGAATATATTGACTTTGCATTCTGAATTTGAATTATCAATTTATTTTTGAATTTTTACATGTATTATTTATCATCAATTATGAATAATCATGAAATATAAAATATGTGAATTTATAATAGAAAGAATTTATAATACATAAACTTAAATATTTCAATAAATTTTATTTAAATATTTATAACACATAAGTTTGAGATTCTAGTTCTAAATGCAATTCATTATAGGTATTGTGAAAATATATTGTTTGTTACCTTCACTGAATCATGATACTAATTTTTAATTATTGAATTTAATTACACAATTATTTAATTGTGTAATATATTTTTAAAATTTGGCTGATGAATGTACATCTTCCTTGATTCCAAAGATCATTTTTACAAATTAATTGAGAGATTTTGTTTCTATTCAAGTAGGGAAAAACATTAAAAATCTTTACTCAGAAAAATTGAGAACAGAATGGAATATTCTATTTTCACATTTTAATATTATACAAATATTAGAGCTTTATAGATGAAAAGTGTATGAAAAGTCCAGTAACATTGCAATGGAAGCAATTTTGAAATTTTGAATATCTACTTACAAAATGCAACAGCATGCTGGTTTACTTTAAGAACTGGTTCATGGGTAAATGAATGAATGAATGAATATATAAAATGGACTTCATAATCAAAATGATAAATACACTGAAAAGACATTCATGTTCCATTCAGTTGGACAGAGTGAATATGAATGAGGCTTGAATTCTTTTGCTTGTCAATTAAAGAGAAGGTGGCAAAATTACATGAGGAGGAGGAAGTAATCAATTATAGCTAGATGATAGCTCAGCTTCTAATAGCATGCAATGTACAAAAAAGAAGTAGAAATTCAGAGAAAATGGTGGAATAAATAGTGTCAGTGCCTTGGGATCGTAATCACACATAGGCTTCCATCTTATAATCAATCATCCATATCCAAAATTAGAAAATAAAATTACATATATGCAAATGGATTAAATTCATTGAAAGCATTTAGAGATCAAATAGAAAATTCTGTTACATTGTAACAGATATTCTTTATCTATTTGCAAATTACAATCACATAAAGTTAGTGTCTGCAGATCTTTCTTGATAGCCTAGATTTAGGAGCTTGTCATTTGAAGTGACAGGGTAAGATGAACAAGATGAGAAACATTATCTATGTTTTACAGTTGGAAAAATCCAGTGGACTAGGAGCTCTAAAATTTTTCAGTAGAATCCTTGTGACCCATATCTTCCAAAGCATGATGGGTGGTAACAGCCATATTAGTAACCTCCATAGCTACCATAGCCACAGCCTGAGTCATAGCTAGGCTCACCAAACTCTAGTCCCTATAGTTGTTGTGTGTTATGGTTGTGACATGAGTTGCTCCCTAAAAAACTCATGTGTCAGGAAATGCAGGACTGTTCAGAGGTAAAGTAATTATATTATAAGAGCTGTAGCATAATCAGTGGATTAAATCACTTGAAGGATTAATGATTTGAATTGGTAACAGTTGGGAGGTAGCAAGAGGCTGAAAGCCAGAGTTCCTTGGGGGTATGCTCTTGGGATTATATTTTGTCCTGGACTGCTTGCTCTGTCCTTGTCTCTGTCTGCTTCCTGGCCACCATGGGCTAAGCAGCTTTCCTATGCCATATGCTGTTGCCCTGATGCTCACCAATGATGTCAAGTCCAGGGCAATGGAGTAGGCTGACTATAGGCAAAAACCTCTAAAACCATGAGCCCCCAATAAATCTTTCCTCCTCTAAGTTGTTCTTATCAGGTATTTAAGTCATAGTGATGCAAAGCTGAGGAAACACACAGCCATAGGTCATGGTGTCAAGTGTGGATAGTTCAGGTGTGGAAGAGGGAGGGAATTTTATGATCGCTATCTTCACATTATCTTTTACATTTTTTCAGTAGTAGGTATGGTAAATTACATGCAATGTTGCCTCACTAGAAATTGTTTTACATAAACCATAAATAGCACCAATAGCAAAACTCTCATAAATTTCTTATTTGTTAGCATAGTGAAGACTTGTAGTCAAAATTCCTCTATGATTAAGTCAAGATTTTCATTATCACATTATATAAATTGAATGCAGTTTTTGACCTAATTTTTTTTTCTGTTTTTGGTGGGGAGGTGCTGGGGATTGAACTCGGGGGCACTTAATTACTGAGCCACATCCCCAACCCTATTTTGTATTTTATTTAGAGACAGGGTCTCACTGAGTTGCTTAATTCCTTCCTTTTGCTGAGGCTGGCTTTGAACACGTGATCCTCCTGCCTCAGCCTCCTGAGTCACTGGAATTACAGGCATGTACCACTATGCCCAGCTTGACCTAGTTTTAAAGTCCTTCCTCACTGAAATGTTAAATATATATTCCATGATGAGATTCTATGAAGTCACAGAAACTATGCAAACAACAAATGATTCAAATTGTTTTGAGCTTTTTAAGAGTTTCAATTTCCTCTGGTCAGCTGCAGGTGAGAAAGACATTCTGTGTGAGGTTGGGTTTTACTTAAAATATGAGATCAACATTGCCCAATATCCTTATAAATATAATTCATTTCACCTTATATACATGACTCAAGTAACGTCTTTACAAGATACAACATTTAAAATGCACAAGTATATTTTATCAGCATCACATCAACTTCTATATCAATTAACCAATTATCTATTCTTATATTTTCCAGGTAAACTCAGCAAAACTGAGACTTTCTAGCTTTTGTGAAAGCACAATTCCATTAAAGATTCCACCAACCTCTCTTTCTCCTGAGGTGAACCTCAATGTACAGTGGTATGGTGTTGGTGGGGAGGGAACACCTCCCCCTGTCCTCTGCTGACATCTGATTATGGCAGTGCACATTGCCATTTCTAACTGTCATAACCAGTGGATCCATTACCCAACATTCAGTGCTTTATCCTTTGGCTCTGGAACTAGAAGAGTCTGGTTGTGGGAGGAAAATCAGTGAGTCTGCATTTAGGTCTCCATGGATGGACTTGGATTTAGTCATTGCATATCTTCCTGCTTATGCTATATCTGTTGGGGAACTCATTGAAAAGGAGTGCGCCTTTTTCTGCTGTTAGAGACTTAGCCTTATTGCAGGGTGTCTTCTCCTTTTGGCTGTGATAGCACCATGTCCTAAAGGAAGACTGCACTGTGTCTGTGTTTATTAAACTCATCAACACTCCACTAAAGCTATATCCATGAAAAAAAGATATGGTATGAAAATATTATAATAACAAACTTTATCCAGGTATCGACTACATGCTAGATACTGTTCTAAGTGTTTGACATGGACTAATTTGATTCTTAAAATTGCCTTATGAGGTAGGGTATTTTTACAGTCTCATCTACAGATGGGGTAGCTGGAGCACACAATTATGGTGGTTGCACAGCTATAAGTGATAAAATTAAAATTTAAACCACAGAGCTTATTCCAAATGTATAGCTCTATTATGCTCTACTGGTTTATATGAAGTCATTGTGCTAAGAACATCAGTTCAGAGGGTGAGTTTCTTTAACCATTGAATTCATTTCTGAGTTATATTGCATAAGTAAACAAAAGTACTTGCTAACAGTAATATTTCTCTTATACTCTGAGAACTTATTGAGAACTTCTTGTTGCTAAAAATCCACTAGGTTTAATGAAAAGGCATTTGTACCATTTTTATTGTTACAAGTAAAGAAAATGCCTGTATCATCTTTGAGTCAGAACACAAGTATAAAAAATGTCTTGAAATTTAAAGGAAGCTTTTTCATGAAAATGGAGTTCTATATTTTTAAAAAAAGTGAAATCTCAACATTTCCATTTTCTGCTTATGGCTTCAGGATATGAACTTGAAGCCAAGGGGAAAATATTTGGTGCTTTTAAAACAGTTATAAAAGAAAATATTGATGCAAATGCAATAGAATAGTTTTCTCTAGTCTGGTGCTCCAAAATTTCAAACTATTGGACTGAGACTGAGTGATCCTTTATGGACTTTAGTAATAAAATATTTCTCATGTAAAATGAAGAGAATCTCCAATGGGGGGAAATGGGTTTGGAGTACCAGGGCACAGAGGAAGATGCTCAAGCTTAAGGGTAATTATCATCGCTTACTGGATGTCAGCAAAAACACAGTGAAATTATTAGCTGTGTCTGGATCAAGTCAGCGTTTACCTATTAAAAATGCTGTTTCTTGCCATAAAAGCTGGTTATAACAAAGATAATTTAAATATCTTGTGTGGGTAGGGTTTTGAATATGAGAAATTGAATCACATTTATGACCAACAAGTGGTTCAGATGTGGCTAAACAACAGGAAATTTTCTTAATGCCTCAATGCCAGGTTTTAAAAATGAGTCAACAAATTTTTCAGATTGCTTCTGCAAAGAAGCCAATGGTGTGAGGTGTGTGGTGGTTCTGCCCACACTGAGGGCATATAAAAGGCCCTCTTCAGGTAGAATTGTACAGACTCAAGTCACCTATATTCCTTCTCTACCCAAGGATAACCTATCTACTCAACAGCCTACACGATGTGTGGTAGCTACTGTGGAAACTACTATGGCGGCTGTGGCTATGGAAGCTGTGGCTATGGAAGCTGTGGCGGTCTGGGCTACGGCTATGGAGGCCTAGGTTATGGCTATGGAGGCCTGGGCTGTGGTTATGGAGGCCTGGGCTATGGCTATGGCTGTGGCATCCGCAGACTGGGCTGTGGCTATGGCTGTGGCTATGGATACGGCTCCCGCTCTCTATATGGCTGTGGTTATGGATGTGGCTCTGGCTGCGGCTCTGGCTTTGGATACTACTAAGGAGGACATCATGGGAGATGCTCACCCTCTCCACCTGTGACATCAGAATTCACTGATTCCAAACTCCACATGTTCGAGCCTCACACTTGGATGATGATGATTCTGCCAAGGGAGTCAGTTGTTGGCCTATATGGAAACTACCATTTCCCTGAGTTTACCTCCAGAAGTGGTAATTCTTGGGTTTGGAGTACCAGGGCACAGAGGAAGATGAGACCTCATTCTCATGAGACCTCACAGTTGTGCTCTCATCAGACATTGGTGTCAGAGCAACTGCCTTGATGACTTTCAAAATGGAGGTTGTTCTCTGTTGTCCTAATAAACTTGCTTAACCTATAAGAGATATCTTGTCAGTCATTTGGTATCCAAAATTACTTGCAGTTTTTCATTTAGGCTTGTGAGAAAGAGAAGAATTAACATTCTTTGGTAGATAATCTTTCTTCCTCTTTCTAGATTGGTTTCTTTATAATTTCAAAGATCACCTAAGTTAGGTTTGTTTTGTTTTTGTTGTTGTTGTTGTTTTGGTAAACTCACTTTTCTCTTCTCCTTTTGAGGTAATAATGCATATTTATTTCTGGGTAATTCTCAACACTGAATCAAGTGTTATTTATATGCTATTTTATGCATTGCCTAGCATAGAGTACATAGTAAGAAAAACAATTTTCTCAACTTTCAATAAACATATCTTAAAATTAATGCTCTTCCCATATCCTCCATACTTTTTTTAATTGGAGATGTAAACTAAATAAAAGTCTTATAAGCTAATTCAACTTAATAAATAAAAAATGCATTTCGCCTTAATGGTAGGCAATCATACTTAGTTAAAACACAGTTTCAGGAATAGACTTAAGTTGTTTCAAGATCTTATAAGTTTCCAGTTCAAGATGTTGGGTGGGACTGTGTTCATATCCAGGCTTCGCTAGGGAAGGATCCAGTTTCAAGCTCATGTACTTGTTGGAAGAATTCACTTGCTTGCAGAGGTGGGCTTGATGGGCTTATTTCCTTGTTGACAGTTAACTGAGTCCCTTGCAGGCTGTCTTTTGGAAGCCACTCTCAGCAGAAGAAGGTGCTCAGTAGGTTCCCAAACATTGCTGTTAGTTTTCTCAAAGTCAGGAAGGCAGAAAAGTTGATCCATCAAGAAGAGTACTACACCTAAAGTAACCTAATTATCCATGCTTGCCCTACTCATGAGATTAGAAGCAAGTCATGTGTCTCACTGACTCTCACAGGGAAGGTCTTACACAAGGGCACCAATCTCAAGAGGCAGGAATCAAGGGGGGGGGGCATGTTGAGAAACTGCCTATCTCCAATTATGTGTGATTTGTCCCTCAGAATAGGGGTTAGAAAGTGGTTCTTCATTTTCAGTGCTCTTAACAATTTACAGAATAAATATTGGTATTATCTAGTCTTTGAAGATACAGTAAAATTCTTTTGAGAAATCATCGGGGTCTGTAAATACTTGGTGATTTTTTCTATTACTTCCAAGGAAATTGATCTCTAAATCCAGTGATCTAGATTAGATCTAATTGATTTCTAAATCTAATGGCTCATTTTGGTAATTTCTTTCCATAGGAAATTATCTATTTCATCTTTATAAATTTAAAATACATAGAGTCTGCAGAGTAGTCCCATGATATGTCATATTTCTTCAATTTCAATTTTTATTTCCTCCTTGTTTGTTATGCTGTGTATGGTTTCTTGTATCTTGATCAAGCAAGCAATCTATACCTCTGTTTCTTTCACATAATAGTATTTTGTCTTATTATTGAAATCTGCCTTTTATTCTGTTCTCTACTTGGCTTGTTTTTGCTTTCCTATTCATATATGTGTGTGTGTGTGTATATATATATATATATATATATATATATATATATATATATATATATTCATAAAATTTTTATGTTTTTTTCAGCATAAATATCATGCATATGCATTTTGTAATTGGTGCAGCTTTTGCTTTGAAATTTGAGTCAAATTGAAAGTGTTTCAGTTAATATAAATTAAGCCTATTCATATATATGGATGTGACTGACATTTATGATAATAATCTTTTTTTAATCTTTTATTGATTTTATTTTTTTAAATACACGACAGCAGTGGAATGCATTACAATTCTTATTACACATATATACCACAATTTCCACATCTCTGTTTGTATATAAAGAATATTGACACCCAATTCAAGTCTTCATACATGTACTTTGTATAATGATGTCCATCACATTCCACCATTCTTGTTAATCCCCTGCCCCCTCCTTTCCCCTCCCACCCCTCTTCCCTATCTAGAATTCATCTAATCTTCCCATGCTTTCCCTCCTCCCCCACAATGAGTCATCCTCCTTATATCAGAGAAAACATTAGGCATTTTTTGGGGGTGATTGGCTAACTTCACTTAACATTATCTTCTCCAAGGACATCCATTTACCTGCAAATGCCATGATTTTGTTCTTTTTTAATGCTGAGTAAAATTCCATTGTGTATATATGCCCCCCCCCCCCTTTTTTTATCCATTCATCCACTGAGGGACATCTAGTTTGACTCAACAGTTTAACTATTGTGAATTGTGCTGCTATAAACATTGATGTGGCTGCTCCCTGTAGTATGCTGTTTTTAAGTCCTTTGGGTATAGTCCAAGGAGAGGAATAGCTGGGTCAAATGGTAGTTCCATTCCCAGATTTCCAAGGAATTTCCATACTGCTTTCCATATTGGCTGCAGCAATTTCCAGCCCACCATCAATGTATGAGTGTATCTTTTCCCTCGCCAACACTAATCTTCATCATGTGGGATTAGGCCTCAACTTCCCTATTAAGACTCCTATAGTGTAAGAATTAAAACCAAGAATCAATAAATGGGATGGAACCAAACTAAAAAGTTTCTTCTCAGCAAAAGAAACAATCTATGAGGTGAACAGATAGCTTACATCCTGGGAGAAAATTTTTACCCCTTATACATCAGATAGAGCACTAATCTCTAGTGTATATAAAGAACTCAAAAAGTTAAGCACAGAACAAACAAATAACCCAATCAACAAATGGGCCAAAAATCCTGAACAGACACTTATCATAAGAGGATATAGAATCAATCAACAAATATATGAAAAAATGCTCATCATCTCTAATAATTAGAGAAATGCAAATCAAAACTACTCTAAGATATCATCTCACTCCAGTCAGAATGTATGATAATAATCTTTATGTCTTTTATTAAATAGTTTCGGGTTTGTTTTTGTTTTTATATAATGATTTTGAGTTTTCCTGTTTCAATGTTAATTTTCCAGGGGAAATTATTCTCAGTTGGTATCATTGATTTCATTTACAGACATTTTGCAATAAATCTGTGTGCCAACTGTTAATCTGTGTCTTTTTATTTATTTTTGGTAGTAGTATAATTTACATGATTTCTAACTTAATGAAACACTTCCACCAATACAATAAATTTCACTTTTGTTAACATTTTCTGTTTTGTTTCTGATGATACAAGTTGGATACCTTCAAATTTGTTTTAACTTTGTTTTGGGTGGATCCTAATTTTTCAATTTACTTATTTATCCTTCACTACCCAACTTCTAAATACTGCTCCTCCCATCTCTTTATATGTTTCTTCCTAAGAAGTTATGAGTTTTGCTGGGTGATGGTGCATGCCTGAAATTCCAGCGATTACAGATGCTGAGGTAGGAGGATTGCAAGTTCCAGGCCAGCTCCACAAATTAATGAGGCTTTAAGCAACTTAGGGAAAACTTGCCTCAAAAAAAAAAGAGAAAGACTGGGGATATGGTCCAGTGTATAAGCACCCCTGAATCCAATCACTGATACCAAAAGAACCCCCAACCTCTCAAAAAAATAAGTTATGAGTTTTCCAACTGCCCCTACAAACCATGCATAGTTTTCAACTCCTTCCCTGATGTCTATTTGCTTATCTACCACAATCCCTTCTCTTTGCTTTTCCTTCTTATCTTATCCTCCCTCCCTTCTTCCCATCTTTCCCTTCTGAATTTTATATGCAGAATGAGTTATCCTTTTGGGTAGGTTTTCTAGATGGACATCTAGCCTTCTTTCTAACCATTCTACTGTCTTCCTGAAATCTTTTTCTGTCTGTTTTTGTTATCACAAAGCTTAGCAGCAGGACAAGGATGGGGTAAAAGAGAGTTTAGGTATTAGGATTTATTTTAATTTGTTTTGTTGAAATTAGTCATACTTTGATTTTCATTTTTGCTGAGGGTGTCATTTTTCATATAGCTTTTGTGTTCCTTTGTTGTGAGTTGAACTGTATTACCCGCCCCCTCAAAAAAAAAACATATTAAAATCCTTACCCTTAAGATTTGCAAGTGTTTCCTTATCTAGAAATAAGGTCTTTGCAAATGTAACCAAGTTAAAATGAGGTCAGATAGAGGGGTTGATCAAATCCAGTGAGTGGTGTTCTCTTAGAAGGCTATGTGAAGACACAGGAACACAGAGACTCTCACAGAAAATGCCATATAAAGACAGAATAAGAAATTGTAATTATATTGCCACAAGTTATATTGCCAAGGAGCATCAAAGATTGCTAGTAACTTCAGGATGCCTGAAGAAATAATGAATGATTTCTTTCTGGAGCTTCTGAGGGAATATATCCCGCTGATATCTAGATTTCAGGCTTCTAGCCTCCAAAATTGCAAGGTAAAACTTTGTATTATTTAAGCCCTATTATTTGTAGTAATTTGTTACTGGAACCTAAGAAACACATGTGCCCTTCTTGCTATTCATCATTCTTTTGGAAGAAAGGTCTTTGGAAGACTTTGTTTTTAAAAAGCATGATTGCCTTTTACTACTTTGAACACATTCATAATGACTTCTTTGAACTATGTGTCTGATAAGTCTGACATAAGAATCTTGTTAAAAGTTCACTTTTTATATGCTGATGGCATTTTTTATATGTAAACCACATCTTTGTTTTTCTTGTATATCTCATAATAATATTGAAAACTGCAACTTTTAGTTTGTATTCTGTGGCTACTCTGGATACG